ATAGTTCTCCAGGAGCTGAGTTGATACGGGAATAATATTTTATGTATACATTTCTAGATGGGTGATTGAGGGAAATTAATTTCTTTGACATGAAAATTAATACTTTTAGTTGAGTTGGAATTATAATTTTTGTAAGAAGATATATTATTATGTTTAAAGGAATTATAAAAGTTATTCACTTGAATTCTCTAGTGCAAGCTTAAGTCTCCTTTAAGTTTTCTCCATCAAGGAACAACTACCCTATGTTTGAATAGCAGTATAGCATCATAGATGAGGGGGCCAGCTATGACATTGAATAGTCCTGGCTTTCCTTTTACTACCTGCATGAATTTGAGCAAGTTCCTTAATTTCTCTGTATTTCAGTTTTCTCATCTATAAATTTAGGATACATAAAGCACCTGGAATAGTGTCCAGCATATACTGGATGCTCAGTAACAGGTAGCTCTTATCGTTATTACATTCTCATATTATTGCATACATCTTCAGGGGAAGTTCATTTCTATCTAGAAGGATCAGAGGTTATCTATTGTTTTGTTTTGATTCGCTTTTTTTATTTATGGTAATGATAGGAGTTCATTTCTGGTGATAGCAGAGTGGCTTTTATTGAACTACCATTTGCCAATAACAATTTTGAACTCTGGACCAAAAAACAATGCAAGCAATCATAAAATCAGAATTAAAACAATTATTTGAATGACAATCATTTATTTTATTTTTAGTCATCCCTGGGGAATAACTAAAAATAGGCAGAAACTGGAGGAATGGTAATTCTTGAAATATGGAAACAAACTAGGTGAGGTCCACATTTAAACAGCCTTTTCTCTGAGGACACACCTCATCTTGCAAAATACATAAGGGACAGAGAGCAATCAGGGAGAGGCTGAATGACTGGACTGAGGATTCAGAAGTCAGAGTGCAGGTCTGCCAGAGTGGTTAGAAATTAAGGAGGGGAGGTTTCAACAAGGAGGGAAACAGCGTGGGGAGCCCTAAAATCTGTGCACAAATTCTCCTAGAACTGTTGGCTGACTACCAAACTATATATGCACATGATGAAACTCCAGAGAATGCAATGGAAAGTCATAGCTGAAAGGCTAAAATAACAGCCTCAGAGATTTCAACAGATGCGTGGTACTGGAGAGACAAATTTTGGAATTCAAGTTCAGTCAAGAAAAAGGACTTAATAAATTCTTTGTACTTTTCATTAAAACTCTAGGAGGGTAATACTTTAACAATAAGCATTTTAGAACTAAGGACTACAAATGAGGCCTATCAGCTACGCACAAATAAGCCCACCCATCAAATCTCCATAAGATAAAAGTGGTTGTCAGTAATTTATGTTACAACAGAACTCAACAATGTTGCCCACAATGTATAGTAAATAATTAAAAATTACTTTATATACAAAGAAGCAGGAAAATATCATCCACAGTCTAGGCAAAAAACAGTCGACAGATTTCCAGAAGTCCCAGATGTTAGAATTAGCAGATCAAGACTTTAAAATAACTATAATATACATGTAAAATAATCTATTGAAAAAGATTTCCATAATGAATAAAGAGATGGGGAGTATCAGGATAAATATGGAAATACAAAAAGAACCAAATGGAAATCCTGAAACTAGAAAAATATATCTGAAATTTAAAAATTTATTGAATGGACCTAGCAAATTAGGTGTCACAGAATAAAACAATAAACTTGTGGACAGATCATTAGAAATTATTTAACTACTGATCTTAGCACTGAGGAAAAAATGATTTTCAAATGATTAAGCACTGAGAAAAAAATGATTTTCAAAAGTTTCAGAGCTATGGTGGCCTATGTGACAATCTCATGTTTCAAAATGTGTGAAATTGAAGTCTAAGATAGGAAGGCAAGATGGGAAAGAGTCCCAAATAGGAAGGAACTGATGTCCTAGATAGGAAGGAAAGAGTCTTTTGAAAAAAAGGATAGCCAAAGTTTTTTTCAAATTTGATTTAAAATATTAACCACCTTTAGATTTAGGAAGTTCAGTGAACTCCAAGCAAGATAAATAAAAAGAAAACCACACCCAAGCAAATAATAGTCACAGTTCTGAAAACCAAAAATAGGAAAAACATCTTAAAATGAACCAGAATAAAAAACACAAAGTCCTAAGGAAGGGGACAGTAAGAACAAAGGCTGACTTCTCATCAGAAACATTGGAGACCAAGTGATAATGGGTTGGTTTCTTAAAAGTGCTGAAAGAAAAAGAAAAGTTAGCCTATCTAGATGACCTACATTAGACTTACATTTAACCATATTATTAATTATATTAAGTGTAAGTGGACCAAAACTTTCATTTAAAAGCAGAGATTGTTCTTTTAACTAAAATACACCAACAGATTGAAAATAGAAGAATGGAGAAGTGGAGACCATGTAAACACTGAACATAAGAAAGCTGGTGTCACTATATCATCGTTAAGGTATATTTCAAATATGCATACTGCCAGAGGTGAAATAAAATATTTTATAATGATGAAAGCATCACTTCTTTAAGATGACATAGTTCTAAATGTGTTTGCCTTTAATGATAAAAGATTTTATTTTCTAAACATCTGGTACAGTAATTCCCTTTAAGGATAGAAGTGCCTTGATTAGAAAGGTGTTTTGATAAGTCTATTGGAGTAGGTGGTCTCTATAAGCCATTGATGTGGGCTAGCTTTGATGCTTCAGAAGAGCAGGTAAAATTACTTGAGATAGGAGATAGGGTCACAGATATTCACAGTTTTTCCAGAACTGAGATAGACTTCCAGTGCAAAATCTGGGACTATCCCCTAACTGAGACCCTCCAGGTAAACTTGAATGGCTGCCTATCCTACAGAGAGGAATTTAGAAATAAAAGGGAAAGAGAAGAAAAGAATGGATAGTTATCAGATGGCAGAAGGTTGTGCAGTGAATGAAGTGACCCATTACAATGATCCCTGAAACATTAAATAAAATGACTAAACTCAAAAATTATAATTGTAAAATGTGTTTGTATATTTGAGAAGCTAGTGATGAGGTAGAATGGTTGAAAAGTAGCATGTGTCATGAACGTGGTATTTCTGGAGCAAGGACCATGAGAACATAAGTTTTGGGAAATTTGTAGGAATCATGGGAATAGTTTTAGACTCTTGTAGGTAATGAAATGGGAGGTCTCAGTCAAGCTTGGGTATATTAATGGCAAAAAAGAGCTGAGATTATCTCTGGATCTTCTAACTGTATTAGTTAAGAATCATTTGGTTTTAGATAATAGAAAATCTGCCTTTAACTGGGTCATACACTAAAGGAAATTTATTTGTTCATGTAACTGAAGATTCCAGAGGTAAGGTGGGCTTCTGGCTTGACTCAATCCAGAGGTTCATGATTCACATCTGAGCTCTCATTCATTTCTCTGCAGGTGTCTCAGCAGCCCTCTTCCTTGTGACATTTCATCTTCACTCTGGTTTTCCTACTGGTAGCAGCAGTGGCCACAGCAGTTCCAAGACACATTCTCACACGATATCATGGGTCTTCAAACTTTTTCTATAAAGGGTGAATTAGTAAATCTTCTAGTTTTGTGTTTCTATTGCAAATAGTCAACTCTGTCATTACAGTGCAAAAGCAAGCCATACACAACAAATAAAAGGCATAGGTGGGTTCCAATAAAACTTTTAAAAATCAATTTGAATTTCTTTTCTTTTTTTTTTTTTTTTTTTTTTTGAGACGGAGTTTCGCTCTTGTTACCCAGGCTGGAGTGCAATGGCGCGATCTCGGCTCACCGCAACCTCCGCCTCCTGGGTTCAGGCAATTCTCCTGCCCCAGCCTCCTGAGTAGCTGGGATTACAGGCACGCGCCACCATGCCCAGCTGATTTTTTGTATTTTTAGTAGAGACGGGGTTTCACCATGTTGACCAGGATGGCCTTGATCTCTTGACCTCGTGATCCACCCGCCTCGGCCTCCCACAGTGCTGGGATTACAGGCTTGAGCCACCGCGCCTGGCCTGAATTTCTTATAATTTTCATGTATCATGATATATTATTTGCAGATTTCTCCCTACCATAAGAAAAATGGAACTATTCTTATATTCTTAGCTCAGGAACTGAACAAAAACCAGGCCGTGGTCCAAATTTAACCTGGGGCTATGATTTGCTGACCCAAGACTTAAAAGATTACCTGACTACAGTGTTAATCAAAAAATTTGCTCCTTCACGGCATATGTTCTCTTTTGTCTTCTCCATACTCTCACTCAAGATAACCCTGTGCAGTACCATTTGTGTTACAAAATCCTGCAGTCTTTTATCTCCAATGCAGAGTGCTCTCCTATCTCCAGATTCCTGCAGCCACCTGCCTACTTAACGTCTCCATTCAGAAGTTTCATAGAATTTTAGACTTAACATGACCAAAATCCTCTAGGGAACTCTGCTTCTTTAAACTGTGTCCAGTTCCAAGCAGCCGGCAGGGGCACATTGACACTCCCATGGAATTGATCTCAATTCCACAGGATGGAATTTCAACATTCTTTACATTTCTAACATGAATACAGTGTGACAAAGTTAGTTATAGATCTAATTGGCTTTTATTTGCAATTCATGAATCAGGCACAGCCTCCATTCTGCAGAACAGAATGATAGCTCCTACTGGACAATGGCACAGCAGTGGCTTTTGTAAGGTGGGAACAAGGAAACAGAAGAACAGAAAAAGAAAACCTGATTGGTTAATATCAGGTTACTTTTTTGTAAGAGTTAAAGCAGACGGACTTCCTTATTACACTCACTCAGGTAAACTGGAATCTTCTGTTTTCAGGAAAAACTATTCTGTTTTGGGATCTCTGCTTTTTTAAAGTTTCAGTTCGATGATGTGGCATTCAGCATGAGTGACTCCATTTTGGTTTGGTCAGGTCTAATGGGGACTAGCACAGAGCATGATTTTTGTTTAACAGGTGAGGTGAAATAAAGTATACACTTCCTGAAGTGAGGAAAATTATGTGAAATTTAAAGTATTACTCTTTTTCCTCCTCGAGGGATGATAAAACTGAGAAATAAGAATGTGACAACAGACTGAGGAATTTTTCAGCAATATCTGTCGGCCTTTGGAAATTTAGTGAGAAGTAGTCAGGATTCAATGTCTTGCTTGCCCAGAAGCCTCCGGTTCAAACTTATATCTTGCCCCGTCTGATTACTTATGATATATACAAATACTCTAAATTTTCCTTTGAGATTTCACTGTTGCTCAACCAGCCTCCTGCAGCCTCAAAGGTGTTTTAGCTCCCAGTAGGACAGTTTAACTACTGTCTTCTCTGTGACTTCCAAGTCTATGTAACTCCTCAGCTTGCTCTCAATTTGTCCAGCTGATCTATTTCTTCAAAGTTGTTTTAGCTTCCCTACTCTCTCCTGTGTTTTGAAAAGAATAAATTCTCAAGTAAATTAAAACTACCTTCTGATAAAAATGAGCATGCATGTGTATTTAGTCCTTCATTTATTCAGTTGCATTTGTGGGGCTTTGCTCTATAGTAGACACAGCTCCAGGCCCTAAAAAACACAAAGATCCTTAAGCTGTGGCCCAGCCCTTAAGATGCTGATAGTGTATTAAAGGCAACAAAAAAGTAAACTTAAAATTCACAATACAGCAATGCAGATGGATGTTAAAATGAAGCCTCCACAAACTGTTTTAGGAAGACAGGGAAATACTAAGGCTTCACAGAGGAGGTGATGCAGTAACTATAATGGGGCGGGGGGGCGGGGAGAGGGAAGGAAGACAAAAACAAGAATCCCTAGTCCAAGATATTTGTTAGTTGAGCCACAAGATGATTACTTAGGAAGAAATATTGAGAAGATGTATTGGGTAGATGAAATACCTAATGAGACCATAAATGATGAGAATTGCCTCTTATAGCATATCAGAAGATAATTTTTATCAGATAATGAAATTGTTTTCAGTCTTCAGAATGAAAATGAATCCCTTGCTAATGCAGATCATGCTAATAAAGGAAGTAAAAGAGAATCTTTGAATTATACTTGGCTCATGATAGGCAGAAACCAACCTAAATAGCCTAGGGGAAAAAAAGAAAGATAATAAAGTAATCAAAATAATTGCTTAATAGGGAATGTGGAAGATCTGCAATGTTAAATTATAAATGTACATTTTCAAGAAAAATGAGGTGACCTTAAGGAACAGATTAGAAACCCACACTCATGCCAGTTAGAAGCAGTGCTTTTCATTAGCGAAGCTGAGGATTAATTAAATCTGGGGAAATTCTTTGAAATCCACAAGTGTGAGTTACATTAGAATACAATACAGCTGGTATATTGGTATCATAATTAATGACTAGCATAGACTTCTTTATTAAATGCATGTGGAGTAGTTCACGTGACAGATGTGAATGAGGAGGACGAAAATGGGTTACTTAAAACCAAAATTTTCTTAGCAGTATCAGCTTTTAAAAGTGTGGGAGTGGAAAAGTTAGTTTATCTGTGTTCCCCTCCCACTCTGATTGCCCAAAGACCCATCCCAAGCATAATGTGGGGCACTGTGCCCCTCACCAACCTCTCCAGGAAGCTGGGAGGGTGAAGGAGGGGAGTGGCTTATCCATTATTTTTCCATTATCTCTGAATGTTTTGCTTCAGCTGGTAGCAGAGAAAGGAGAAAGAGGCTGAAGTTGCAAAGCCTCTAACAGTTCTTATGCTCAAGGGTGAAGGTTTGGACAAAACGGTCATTATTGACAGAGCACCTTAGGTATAAGTAAGTGGAGGCCCTGAGCAAGTGAGAGGTGGTAGTCTAAATTATTTTATAGGACAAGGTAAAGGGAAATTAATTTATCGGGGAGACCCATGGAAAAGGCCAGTGGAAAAAGGAAGACCCTGGAAGGAAAATAAATGAGAAGCAACAGAGAGGCTTAAAGCCCCCATCCTCTGTTACACACAGATGCCTTCTGTGAGAAACAGACACATGGCTGGTCCACGTTTAGGGTGAGTCAGGGAAGAGCTAGAGTGAGGAAGGATGATCCATAAACTGAACCAACTGAGAATCACAGAAGCTCTGGGTTAAAGGGGGTATAAGAATGCTGAACCACATTTCAATCCCAGAGTGTCAGAATTACACAGGGCATGCAGTAGGCAGAAATCAGCCTGCAGAGTCTGGCGGGGAAGGCAGATGACAGTGATCCTGCTGCGTGCTGGATGGAATTGCAGCCAAGTCTACTCCTTAATGATGGGGTCACTCACCTAATATTGCATACTGATACATGGTTTTTAATTTTGGCATGGCTGTTACTTTAGTGTGACGTTCAGATTTTAAGTATGACTTTGGTTATCTGCATAAAGACCATTTAGAGATGCTGTTCTCAGACAAATTTAAAAGATGTCTATAAATTCTAAAAGCAAACACCAAAGTACCTTATCAAAATTATACAACTTCCGAAGATTCTATTCTGAAAATCTTTGCAGAAGACAGGAATAGAAACATATATAATTTTTTAAATGTGCTTTTCAAATGCAATAGGAAGTTCTCTTCTGACAACTAGAATGGAAATTTGCACAATGATTTCATTTGTTTAAATGTTTTATTTTTCTCGCTATTCTGTTTTCCCTCCCACCTGTTCTGTTACTCCAGCCGCCACCTTTGGACAAGCTCTGTCAAATCTCCCTTCTCTACTGTGGATATTTTCTTGCCAGGTTTCTCATAATGTTTTCCAGTCACTTTCAATATATGAACAAGTCTCATTTTGGGAGTTGAGATTTACTTCAAAGTATTATGAGGTCCAGTCCAGTATAAATCAAAATTTCAATCTTATATCCAAATCAAAGATTTTTTTCCCCCTCATTTGTGAGGCCTAGGAGGACACAAGCCACATGAGATAAGGGTAAAAGTCTCACATGACTTATGCCTTTAGAGTGGCTTGTGCCCTCTGAGTGGCCCCCAGATGTGGATCTCTCAGATGCCCTCTCCCTGGTCTCCATCACACTCCTAGGTGCTACCCAACCAATGGTCCTAGGAGAGCCAGGGAGAATCTTTGGGTCCACCTGAAACTGTGCTGGGACATGGCCGTGTCTCCTGATGGAACAGTGCACTTCCAGCTGACCTCCTGTAACCCCTTCTCAGCTTCTACATCCCTGCCCTGAGATAGACCCATAGCCTCTTACTGTGGGGTCCCCTAGCTCCAGAAGGCCGCCCTCTTGAGTGAAATCCCTTCAAGATGCTCAGAGCTGGTGTCCCTTCTGTGGTATCCTATCCCAACAAACACCAAGTGAGCAGGCTTCCCACACCACTGCCTTCTGTCCTTGCCTTGGGCAGCCTTTCACGTATCCTATCCCAACAAACACCAAGTGAGCAGGCTTCCCACACCACTGCCTTCTGTCCTTGCCTTGGGCAGCCTTTCACCTTCAGAATTCTGCAGGCAGGAAGCACACAATCCATGTTCACATACAGCCCCAACCTCAAGATATAAAAATCCTTCTTCCCAGCATCTCTGCCAACACCTGATGGCCCCAGATGAAGCTGACAAGTGACTACAGTCTTCCCCTACTGCCAGCACTCTGATCTCTACTGTGCTACTCTCTAGAGCCCTCAGTTTTGCAGAGAGAACGCTCTTCTCCATCACCCCCAACCCATGGAGAGAGAAGAGAACAAAAAGCTATAACACTCCACTCCCAACAAATTCCCTTGTTAAATGAACTCTCATTTGCTTGCGTAGGATGTGTGGGGTGGCAGGAATGAGTGAGGTGGGAGGGCTTATATGCCATTTTGGCAAGTCTTGGAAGTGGGTGATGGGAAGCTCTTTTTCTGCATTCTTTAGAGTGGGAATGGAATAGAATGTGATTAACCACTAGTCTCATCTTTGGGGCTTAGTAAAAATTCTGAGAATAAATTCCATTGCACATCTTTTTATAATCATATATCTGATAGCCCCTAAAGTTGACTCATTTTAAATACAGAGAATGTTAGGTATAAAACAGTTTGCAGATCACTGTACAGTCTTTAAAGTGTGAGTGGCAGAGATCAGAGATTCTGCCTCTCATCTGTTCAGGTCTCTTTGATGTACCCGTTCTGAGGACCATGAACAAGACAGGTATGGCCCCTGCCTCCTTAGAACTTATACTATCGGGAATGACTGCTAATAAATACACAATTACAATACAGTGTAATAGTGCTTTGATAGAATAATCACAGCATGAACAGGGAGCCCCTAACTTAGGATGAAAGATCAGCATGCATGAGGAATCGCCTTGACTCTTGTGTCAAATACAGATCCTAGTTTGCCACCTCGGGTTCTCTCAGTCTTTACCCTGGACTGTGCTGCCAGTGCCAGGGACCTACCACCAAGTGGCCCTAAGAGTGCCAGGCCCTCCCTCTTGGCCTCTGCCACTCAGCTAGAGATTGCAGCTCTTTGTAGTAACCAAGAAATGCACCACTCAGATCTCAGGCTGAGAGGAATGGAAGTGATGTGACCCCAGCTTCTGCATTCCGAAACCCCCACTGTGTGAGTGCTGATGCCTGCTTCCCCAGGCTGCACCCAGCCAGGGACTAAGTGAGGCAGGGATAGCAAAGCAGACCCGTATCTGTGAGATGTGGAACCCTTCTATGCGGTGACTTGGGCACTAGGATTTCCCATCAGCCTGGGGAAGCCTACTGACCCAGGGAACTTCCTTCCCTATTTTTATCGTGGTTTGACATTCCCTGCTTTCTCAAGTTCCTCCCCCCTTCTCCCTTGTGGTTGTTTCACCAAGTAAATGTCTTCGATATGTAATCTGGTATTTTTTGTTTTTTTGAGATGGGGTCTTGCTCTGTCACCCAAGCTGGAATGCAGTGGTGCCATGACAGCTCACTGCAGCCTCAAACTCCTGGGCTCTATTGATCCTCCCACCTCAGCCTCTCAAGTAGCTGGGACTACAGGCGTGCACCACTATGCTAGGCTAAGTTTTTGTGTTTTTGTAGAGATGGAGTTTTGCTATGTTGCCTAGGCTGGTCTTGAATACCTGGGCTCAAATCAATCTGCCTGCCTCGGCCTCCTAAAATGCTGGGATTATAGGCGTGAGCTACGGTGCTAGGCCTCTAATCCAGTCTTGCTGTCTGCTTCTCAGAGGACCCAAACCAACACATTTTACCACTCACTTTTGGAACACTTGTACGGAAAGAAAAAAAAACATTTATTCTATCCTATGTTCTCCAGGGGCTCAGGCTCTGCAAATTAGACTGACAAAAGACAGAATAACAAGAGAAAAATAACAAAGTTCATTAATGCATGTAGTGTGAATCCATATAGAAGAAACAGTGCTGAGTCACTGAAAGATTGCAGAGGCTAAAACAACTCCATCTTGGATGCTAATCTGCCACGTTCCCTTCTGATTAATCCCAGTTCCTTGAAGGCCTCTAAGATTTCTAGTTTATCTATTGTTCCTTGTGTTACTTTGCCCTTAGGTCAGACAACCTTAATGCTATCACACTTCAATT